ACGTTCCCAGACTGCTGTTGGAAAGAGTCAATGTGGTTTTTGGTAACTAAACTGACTATTCTTGTTTGCAGAGGTCCAAGTGAAAAAGCACTTCACGGCCGAAGAACTTTCCATGAGACGCGCAGAAATGGCCCGTCGACGTCGGAATCTTAGCGACAAGCGGAATGAAGAAGTCAAGGTACGGAGGACTTTCTCAAGCCATTGTCTCCCTTCTTTTCCTCTTCCACCACCTCCTCCATGTCCACTCCAAAACACAAGAAAGTATCAGAGAGAGACGCTGACATTCAAGAAACAGATGGAGACTATTAACAAGTTGCTGAAGAAGCAGGCGCCCAAAACAAAAGGCAAGGGGCAAGCCGCGGGCGACGAGACGCTTGGCGGGGATGGATCCCGGCCGGATGTCGTCATGGTACGCTGGATCAGCAGTAAGGAAGGGGTTCGCGTGGGTGTTCCAAGAGAGATACTCGAGGGACCGGCCGGCAAGGTTTTCGTCCCCGGAGGACTTCGGTCTGGGAAGCTGGTTGAAGAGGTCAAGTGAAGAAGGTCAAGGGGAGGAGACGGATGAATTGGTGGGTTCGACCGCTGCGTGGCGTCATGTCGAATCCCTCCATCATCATATGATGTTCCTTTTCCACGCCAAGGCAGGTTTTTGTCACTCTAATAGGAAGGACTGACTTTTCTCTTATTCCGAAACATGGGAAGCTTATATAAATCATTGCAACTAGGAAAGTTAACTTTGTGAGAGTTTAGTTACGAAAGAGCCTACAGATGCTTAAACGTCGACATTTTATGACCTCGCGCCGTCGTCCCTTCTGACATTTGCTGGAAGATCTGAGCGACGGGGATTTGTTTGTTCCAGGCTTTGAAGAGATCCACGAGACATAAATCATGGACCATCCTCATTCAACAACTTGCATTTTCAAACTGTTGGTTCTCATGTACCCGATAGAGAATACCTGGGTTTTTTCTTTTTTTCTGCCGATTGATACCCGTCAGGGTTTGTAACATACGGCTATACATCAACCACCACCAGCCTCTTTTAGCACCTCAAAGGCAGCCGTACAGAGATGCCCAAGCCCCGAAAATCGGAAAGTCGTGGTCGGTCGAATAGAGGGGAAAAGCGTGGGAAGACGGGAAGGGAGGGAAGGGGGAGAAAGGGGAGAAAGGGGACAAAGGCGACAAAGGGAACAAAAAAGGGAAAGGGGCAGCCTGTCAGCCCAGATGGGAGCAATCAGGCCCGTCAGCAGCCTCAACAACCCGTAGACCCGGAACACCCCCAAGAGACCGGTCGCGAAGCGGGACACCAGGATCGGCATGCGCCAGCAGACGTCAGTCCGAGTGCGACGTTTGTCACATCGACGTTTCCCGGCCCGTCTCCACTCGGTGGTCCCGAGGGGAATTCAAGCCACGCCCACCAACCGGACAACGGAGGAGAGAGTGTAGGTGATGGGAGTTTGACAGAGGAGGAAAGGCAGGCATTGCGGGAAAGGTTGCGCGACGTCCAGCCGGCCGACTATTCGGATCAGGAGAGGAGGATTATCGAACTGTGGGCGGCGTATCCTGAAATGCCGAGAGATTTTATCAGGGACATCGTCTTGAGTCCCTATGGGGACCAGTCGCACTTGCTGGGCACTACGGACATGGAAGATCTTGCTGCCAGGTCTCGTGGCACAATCCCTTAGGCGGCCGGGCGATTTCATCCATCAATATCAGTAGATTGTAGTACAGTCGAAGCAGCAACGGCAAGCTCACGAATATAATTACGTTGTACACCTTCGCGTGCCCCCCTTAATTGGTTGGTCTCTCGATGTCGTCCTGGAGCTACTGCTGAACTTGCCGGGGCTGGGACAACGGGCGGGTAAAGGAGTACGTACCTACGGTTACTTAAGACATGGTCGCCCGAGATGCATTCAGACCCATACGGAATCCGACACTTGCTGCATGTCGCACAGCGTCACACGACCACACCACAACGTTCCCGTCCGGCCTAGCTGGACAGTACTCGGTACTTAATGGATGAGTGCAATAAGGTACCTCGAATTCTATTTTACATACACATGTACTTATTATGACTATTGAAGAAGTATGAGTACCTAACCCTAGGGTCACTCCACTTCTTGGCCACGCTACTCACATCCACCAAATGACCAAATGACACCGCAGCTGCGACTTCTCCAGAAATATAGCTCTGAGCAACGAAAATTACACTTCGTATCTGAACGTATTAATAAGGTACCTTATTACTTTCCAATTACATATTACCTGGTGTTTCGGTAACTGCTACCTACTCCTGACCTTCCCAGATATCATATCCCCTCTTCGACTTGGGGAAGGCGCACCTGGTGTAGTCTCCACTTCAATATCATGCGGTCTCTCTTTTGACTTTCCGTCTCCTCTTTTTTCCCTTTCTTCTTGCTTTCAGGGTCTTCCTCCGATTCTCGAGTCCCTCAACCGAATCATCATCACTTGTCGACATCGACATCGACATCGACATCGACATCACCATCACTACCTTAATTAACCCAACCCGTTCCTTCGTACAAAGGATACCCGCGTTGTAGCGACCAAACAAAATACCCATGTCACATGGCATGGTTCGAGATGGAACGACATATCTAACATACGATCGATCGCAACGCTCGTCTACCTTATTTTAAGTCTTCCGGATCCATAACCGCTTGTCAAGCCCTGTTCAATAAGAAGACAAGCCTCGAGATATGAACGGTCATTGTACAGCGGCCAACGCCACGCCAAGTCGCCAGACGCAAACTCCTCAGCTTGGCCACGACGCTATCGAGTCATCTCATGCCACCCCGGAAGGAATCCCACGACTAGGGACCTTGGCCTCGCACGAGCCGCCATCTGCAGCCGCCCCCACCCCGCACTCCGAGTCCCAACCCACACAAGCTCTAGCTCTCCCCCAAGCCGGGCCCCCTGTTGCTACGACCACCACTACAACTGGTACTGCTTCTGCTGCTGCTGCTGCTGGTACTGCAGGTCCAGGCCTCCCTCACTTCCAGTCACCGCCGTCCCAGCCAGACTCCTCCTCTCCTTTGGCGCCTTCCTCCCTTCTCGCCGCAAACGAAAAGCTCTCGTCATCTTCCTCCAAGATGCGGTACAAATCTCCACGCTCCACGCTATCCAAGTTTTACCGCCCTTCTCAGCCCCTCGCCCTTACCCAAGCAGCCGAACATGACCCCGACCTCTGGAGCAAGGACAAGGGCAAGCAGAAGGAGGCCGTCAAGAAGCATCTTGCTGAGAAGGTTCGCAACGATTGGGAGTTTATCTGGCCGCAACCACCGCAACCGCCGCATCATCCACCATCTCCGACTTTGGAACCTGTAGTCGACCATCCCGAACCACCTGTGTCGTCTTCTGGTCCCTCTACCGCCACTCCTGCCACGCCTGCGACGCTTGCTGTTGAGCCAGAGTCGGCCCACCCCACAGACACCGAGCTGGACGATCATCATATTGATCCCGACAGCGACGCCGAATCGGTATACAGCACGCTTTCCGAAGACCCAGTACACTTTCGACCTCGGCTCGAATGGGCATCGGATCTCTCCGATGACGATGACGTCCGGCCTCGTTCTTCCCTTTCTCCCTTCCGCTTCGACAGTCCGGACGCAGTCGGATCCGCCGTCAAGGCATCGGTCATCGAGAAGCGTGCACAACGTCGGAGAGCCTTGCGCGAAGAGATGCGCTGGAATGATGGGCTAGCGTGCTTTGAGGCTCGCCGGGACGCTTGGACGGGGGCCAAGACCGTCCGAGTACGTCCCAAGTTTCCGTCGCCCCCGAGCCCCCTTACTCCCCTCTCCCCTCGGCGGCTTTTCCGCCGCTCATCCATGTCCACGTCTCCCATCCACGTCCACCCCGTGCCCTCCCTGCCACTACCACTGCAGCAGAGGCGTAGCAACGACACGTCCGCCGCCGCCTCCGACGGCTCGGAAGCGTTGAAGGACAACGAGCTCACGAGCCACCGCACAAAGGACTCGTCCCAGTCGACCGCTACAACCTCCGCCGCCTCCACCGCGAACTTGCCGGTTGAGACGCTTCTACCTATCCCGCCCCCCATCCTCCCTCCCAGAAACCCGATGCGCGCCTCTATCACGCCAGCCATCTACATCTCCCTGTACGAGAAAGTTATAGTTCACAACCTCACCCCTTCTTGTCCCGTCAACCTCGCCGATATGATCCGCGCTTCCGTGGCCGGCTGGAAGCGCGATGGAGAATGGCCGCCTAAACCATCCGCTGTTGACCCCACGAGCGTCGTTGCCGTTCGAAAGAAGAAGAGACTCTCCGTCGCCTCGGCCGAAAAGCGGACGGCGTCCCGGCGCATGAGCTTGGGGTTCCTCACTAGGGGAGAGAAAGCCAGCCCGGAGACCGAGGAGACCACCAGCCCTGCCAGGGGAATCCGCCGAAGCTTGCAGCGGGTCCTGGGACTCGGTCACCCCCCTCCGTCGTCCCCCACTGCCGTTGTTACACCACCTCCGGCGACCCGGCCACCGCCGTGAGTGCAACAGTGGTATACGTGCAGCCTGGCTACAAGACAGGCGAGCAAACCCATCGGGGAGCGTTTACTTCTTTAATGGAATCTTCACTCGGGAGAGCATGGCTGCCAGCGGCGAGCATAGCATTATATGCAATTTAATTTTTTTTACGATTGTGGAAGAAGGCGGCGTTGGAGCCATGACATCGGTTTCTCTCACACAAGTGCACGAGGAGTCAGATCCAAGAATATCGCAAATATTGATTGATAATCGCCATGCCGGGGGATTGTTGGATTGGAGAGTCTTTTTTGGTTTGTTCTCCTCTCAAGCAGCGTTTCACTTCATAGTCGAACATCGCCCAACCAATTTGGTTGTCTCGCTGCTCATTTTTGCGTTTCTGTTCCCCGTGACCCCTACAAAACCCAAACGATATAGCGGCGGCTCATCAGACATTTATATTCCATGGACAGGTTGATATCTGGGGAGGAAACACTACAAAATGGGAGGACCTGTCAAAACAAAACACACATCCTCCTCGGCCCTTCCCCTTCACTCGCTGAAAAGCAAGGCACCAGGCTGGTCCACCAGCAGTCGCATAGCCTCTTCCATCTCGTCGAGAAGTTCCCTAGCGTGCGCCTCCCAGGATGCAAACGTAATAATCTCAATAGTCAAGCTATCCCCCTCGGGAAACGCCTGGACCTTCCACTCCCGCAGCGGCTCGAAGTGCGGGTAGATGGTCTCGGTGCGACCACTCACCCCCGCGAAACCGAGGTCCTCGACATGCTCCACGTCCTGATGCACCACCGAGTCGAACCAGTCGGTGGTCGCGGGCCAGTCGGTGCAGGACGCCACAATCTCCGGGAGACCCATGCCCTCGTGCGCCGAGCTGGCGATGTGCTGGTGCTGCACGTGCGCGAGCAGATCCGCGGCCGTCCACTCCGGCTCGAACTTGACCCGCACGGGGACGTATTGCCAGCATGGCCCCGCCACGACGTCGGCACTGCTGCCGTTGCTGTTGCTACCCTTGTTGTTGTTGTCGTCGTCGTTGTTGTTGTTCTTGTTGTCTCCGGGGAGGTCGATGTTGCGGCCGCTGACCACTTCGCCAAAGGTGACGTCGCGGAGGTTGAGGCGCCGGGCTAGGCAGAGGGCCCAGGCTGCGGTGGGGAGCGTGGCGACGGTGATGTCCCTGGAGCGGGCGGCGATGTCGAGCTTCCTGTGGATGGCGAAGTGGTCGCGGTTCTCTACCGGCGTGTCGGGTTTCACGACGGAGAGGGACGAGCCGCGGAGGAGGTCGCGCCAGTAGGAGATGCTCTCGGGGATGTTGGTCTTGACGACGTGGGCGACGAAGGAGGAGAAAGGCACCGCCTCGGGGACCGGTCGCCCTTCGTACAGCGCTGAGAGTTGGTGGAGCATGTGGGGGAGGCAGATCTCGTCGTATTGGGCGTGCGATATGCGGAAGACCAGCGCGGAGGAGCCGTTGCTGCTTTGGATGAAGAGCCACTTGACGAAGCAGGATCCCAGCGGCATCCGCGTCCGGATGTCGACGTGGCAGAGGTGTTGCACGAACGTCTCCACGTCCCCGTCAATCTCGTATACTTGGACGGGGACTTTTACATTTTCCAGGACCACGCCGAGGAAAGTGTGTTGATGCGCAATAAATACCGTCCGTAAGATCTCATTGCGAGTGACCAGTTCCTGGCATGCGCGGAAGAGCTGGGTACGGTCAACGGCGCCGTCGAAATACATTGCTTCGTAGCGGGTCGAGAATCTGGGCAGTTCAACTGTGCCCTTGATGGCTACGGCTTGGAGCGGACGGACGGGGAGGACGTTGACGATATTCCATGTCGGGCTAACGAGGGCTGGACGGATGACGTTGTCGATGAAGATGGCAGAGGCCGCCGCTCCCTCCACGAGCTCGAATGGGGCTGTTGTCTGCGCCTCTCCCTGGGGTGACTGCGACGGTGCTGGTTTGGACTCCGCCAAGGCGCCGGCCATGTCATAGAGCGTTCTCTTCTGGAAGACTTGCGCCACTGTCAGTCGCAGTCCTTCGAGACGTGCCTCTGAAACCAGCTTCATGGCCGAGATGGAGTCTCCGCCGAGTCGGAAGAAGCTGTCATCTAAACCAATATCTTCTTCGGATAATCCCAGGACGCGGCTCCAGAGTGTTCGTAGTCGTCGTTGCTTGGCTGACGTTGCGGATATGCGCTTCGGTCGAGGTTGGGCGGTCACGGCTGCAGCGTCCCGTGCTGACTTGCCTCTTTTGTTGTCTTGGATGAGCTGGACCGTTCCGCTGGCGTCGAGTTTCGCGAGACGGTTGGTCCGGTAGAGCTTGGTAGGCACGCCGTTTTCCTCACGGGGGCCGTTCAACTTCAACCAAGGCGCGGAGTCGAGAGCAAGCAGCGACATGTCGGTTGCACTGGCAATCGCCAGTTCACCGACGGCGCCCAGGGGGACTAGACGTTTGCCATCTAACGGGTCGATAATCCACACGGCTGTTGTTGAAGGATATTCCTTCTCGACGCTCTGAGGATTCGCGGTGCTGAGACGGGCCAGTCCAGCCTCTTCCTCTGCTGTCAGATATTGCAAGTCGCTCAGGGGCTCCTCCGTCATTTGACACAGCTGTTGGGACACGCGTGCTAAATGATTCAGGGCCCTCACCATCACAGTCGGTTCGACCGTCTTAGAATCGAAGCTGGCCATGATGGAGAAGCCGTCGTTGGCATCCAACGCGCAGACGAGCATCAGCGCGTATGTGTTGAACTTTAGTGCTTCCTGAGCTGCTTCGGCATCTCCGGCGGGCACCAGCCGATTGGCAGGGTATTTGTTGCGCTCGTTGGGGTCCGCGTCCTCCTCGGAGCTAGGATGGAGAACAAGCCCCGTCCTCAGCTCGCATGCCTCGTACGCATCGGGGCTGAGTCGGCGGATGTGCTGTAGGCCCGTGTGCTCGTATGGTATCTGTTTCACCGTCTGGTCGTGGATCTCTTGCAGGTACTCGGCCACCGTCATGTCCCCACGGACTTGTACACGGAGGGGGACGGTAGTGATCATGGGGCCCTCAATCTCTTCACAGCCGCTGATGGGGGCGTTGCGACCGGTGAGAGTCTCGCCGAAGACCACGTCTGCGCATGCGCTATACTTGGACGCAACATAAGCCCACGCTCCGCGGATGACCGTGGCCACCGTGGTGTTCGATGCAGGGCGGCCTGACAACGGAACATGGAGCTCGAGAAGCGAATCGGCCTGGGTCTGATATCCCTCCCACGGCAGGGGCGGGAACTGAGTTCCGTTCGCTCCTTGCAACTTCTCCCTCCAGAACCGTTCGGCGGACTCACGACCGGTAGAGTTGAGATATCGAATAAAGTCCTTGAACTCGGCGGGCCTCCTTATCCTCTCCCCCTCGTAAGCCCGGTTGACCCTGTCGACGACGAGAGGCATTGACCAGCCGTCGTACAAGGCGTGATGCATCGTCAGGACAAAGTAGACTTTCTTGGACTCGTCCTCGGTGATGAGAGCGTAGCGGACCAGAGGTTTGCCCAGCTCCATGGGAGCTTCACGGTCCCTGATGAGGTAGTCCTGCAGGTCGTTTCCGCGGTGCCACGGAATATCCTCGTTGATGACTACTTGAACCAGGCCATGCTGGCGCACCTGGACTATCCTTGTGCGCAAGATTGCGGTGTCGGCAGCGGCTATCTCGAAGGCGGAGCGGAGCTTTTCCGCAGCGGCTGCATCCTCCAGGTCCACGACTCTCTGCGCAACATAGGCCTCCTTGACCTTGGCTGACAGCGCCATCAGGGCTTCCTGCAGTGGTGTACAGGGATAGACGTCTTCAATGGCCGCTTCTTCGACCTCGCAAAGCTTGGCTACATCTGCACAAGCTTGTTCCCGACTCCACTCTTCTTCCAGCAAGGAAAAAGGTGGTGGTGGCTCTTGTGCCTCTCGGGGTGCCGGAGTTGCCATGGCGGCCATTGCTTTGAGTGTCGGAAAGTTGAAAATGGTAGCCACGGTCAAGGCGATCCCTTCGTGTCTTGCAGCGCTAACCAGTCGCATGGCTTTCAGGGAATTACCGCCGAGGGCGAAGAAGCTATCCTGCAAACCGATCTCCGCGGTGTCCCTCAGGATATTGACCCAAGCGCGATGCAGTGCCCGTTCCATCTCGGACTCGGGCTCGTCCCGCTCGGAACTGGCCACTCGCAGCCGAGCAACCTCTTCTCTTGTCATGGCAGCACCGATTTCTCGTAGTCGCTTGCGGTCGATCTTCCCCGATACCAGAGACGGCATCTTCCGCAGGGGGATGTAGGAAGACGGGACCATGTATCTTGGAATTTCAGCGCTGAGGGTGATGTCCATCTCCCCCAGGATCAGGCTCAGTTCTGGGGACAAGGTTACTGGGCCGCCCTCGTTCTCCGTCGCACTTGTTGGTATGGTGGTGGTATGCTCCTCGATAAAGGCGACCAGGGTCGGGTCACCCCCTCCAGGCTTGATGACTTCGGCGACAACCTTGACGTTGGTTGGTAGTTTACCTCGAAGATGATGTTCGACCTCGGCTAGCTCGATTCGTTGGCCCCGAAGCTTGACCTGTTGGTCCTTCCGGCCCACGAAAGCGATGGCTCCTGTACCATCCGGATCATAGCGCACGAGGTCTCCGGTCTTGTAGAGTCGGCCCCGTCGCCCACCAGGCACAGAAGGGCCTCCGGTGAGAAGCCAGGTGGGATCTTGAATGAAAACCTCGGCCGTCTTGGCGGGGTCGCGGAGGTAGCCCAAGCCCACCACAGGCCCCTCCACCAAGAGCTCTCCCACGGCACCTACAGGCATGAGGCGGTTGTGGTCGTCAGGGTCGACGATCCACGTCAGACCCCCGACGCCCTTGCCGATGTTGGTGGATTCCCTGACGTTATTGTTGATGGTACAGCCCACGGTGCACTCGGATGGACCGTAGGCGATGATGACGCTGGTCGTCTGGCTCCAGGCCGAGGCGTCTCCTGCCGATACTGCTTCGCCTCCGAGACCGAGGACTTCCAGGGAAGGGATGATATCGGGATCCAGGACGCGGGCGACGGAGGGCGTCATATGCGCCATATTGCATTTCGTGTTACGGATGGCACCGCTCAAGTCGTTGATCCGGTCCTCGTCCGACGGGATGCAGAGACAGCCGCCGTTGGCGAGGGTGCACAGCATGCAGTCAATGCTGACGTCAAAGGCGTACGAGGCGAAGTCGAAGACGCGCGAGTGAGGACGATAGCCCACGGCGTGGGCGCGGGGAACAGCACCGCTCGTGTAGTTTGCGTGGGAGCATACCACGCCTTTCGGTTTCCCCGTGCTCCCGGACGTGAACTGGATATACAGAGGCGAGGAGGTAGGGATAGGCGGTAAGCCGACCCCTGGGCTTGTTGATGCGATCGCGATCACGTTCAGGAGGTGGCTCGAGACGACGACGACGACGACCTCTGCTTCGTCACCGGCTAACCGGCGGCCCAAGTCGCTCTGTTGATGTGACGTGAGGAGGATTTTGGGACGGGTCTGTTGGACGATGGTCCGTAAACGGGCCTCGGGCTGGCTGGGATCGGTGAGGGCAAAAGCGGACCCTGCCTTCATGACGGCGAGGACTGCGACTACAGTCCACCTGGATTTCTCAAAGCACAGAGGGATGATGCCGCCCACTTGTGCTCCACGAGCGACCAGGTGGAGGGCGAGGCGGGTGGACAGTTCCTCGACGTCCCGGTAGGTGAAGCTGCCGTCCCACGACTCGACGGCAGGGGAATCGGGATGAGAAGCGGCCTGTTCTGTGACGAATTCATGCATGCAGCGGTCTATGGTTGGAGGGAGGACGGCATTCCACGACCACAGCTGGTCGAGGTCGGCTCGTGTAGGCCCGATGGCAGTCGACACTTGCTGGTCGGGATGGTCAATGATCTGGCCAAGAATGTCCACGAAGACATCGAGACGGGCATTGGCAAATTGATGTGAGAAGGAATTCCGGACCCATTGGGCTGTGATGTCCAGTTGCTGTTCGATGAGTGATGCTTGAATCTGGTACGTCCACTGGGGAGGTTGGGAGATTGGGAGGTTAGCAAAAAAAGAGTATACATATACGCCGGGTTCGAGGTTCCCGTTCCTCGGAGTTTGGTTTTTAAGAAGATTATCTCACATTGTTGGGCGGCGAACGCTGCGATTCTTTCTCGGGGTCCGATGGTGCGCTGACAGTCTTGACTCCATTGTCGAAATAGAATTCGTTCCCGACTACGATAGCCGGCACGTCGTCGGAAGAAGAATACAGTTCTGTGAGAGCCCGCCGGGCGTCTGATAGCGCATCCGTCTTTTGGAAAGGAAGACTTCCTAGATCCAGGAAACGTTCAAAAGCCGCCGGTGAGGATGGGTGACCATCCCTCCTACACCCCCAATTCACCCGGCTGATAGCATCATCGTTATCCCGGTAGAGGACGAGGAGCCAGGCGAGGAGAAGGTCGAACGGTGAAGGGCTCGGACTCGAGTCCGGCAGCGACTTGGGCTTCAACGGAACGGTTCGATTAGAAGACGGGTGGTTTGCGCCATTGAGGGTGGGAGGAGATACAGGACGGCTGGTGATGGTGAGAGGCATCTCAAAGGCACCTCCCCCTGCGTCGACGTTCCGCAGGTGCATATCGACAGCGACAGGAGAGGCGTGGATAGCAATCACGATAGGAGGGGAAACTAAAGATCAAGGGGGCTGTCGGTTGTGCTATGTCTACGGAGTAGTACGGACGAGAAAGGGAACTGGTGGAGAGCAGAGCAGAACATGTGCTTCCTGTCGAGTCGAACCCCTCCAGCGGGGAACGGACCCCTGTAAGTCGATGTCGGCCATGAGGTTCATGTTCATAATTCCTCGAGTTGAGTTGCTCTGTTTCCCGAGCATCTTTTCTCCGCACAACCGACATCGATGTTGCTAATGGGTAGAAAAATTGAGAGTAGTGTACGGAGTCGTAGTAGCAGTGCCGGCTTCGACTGGGCCGAATCGGAGTCACGGAATCTTCTGAGAAGGGACAGGCCCAGGCGAAAACCTTGGTTCCAATTGCAGTAGGTATGCAATAGGTATGGGTCAGTCCTTTTTAGGAGGGGGGTCTGGTCTGATTCTGTTTGTCGAGTACAGATACAAGCCGATACATTGGGCATGGGTACCGGGTTCCGAGAAGAAAACGGAACGGAGTGGATGAGGTCCGGGGAAGAAGACAGGATCTGATAAGCCTATTTGATCACCACAAATTAGTTCATGTGGAGCGAGCTGCAACCTTTTGCCCGGCGTGTCCAGTATTGTACGAGGACGTCGTAATGCTGTGGGTACGAAGTATTAACGGATCATGGCCTCAATCCCCTCGTTCAGCTGTTCCGTTCCGTCATAGCCTGCGTCCTACGTCTAGGCCGGCCTGCATATGGACGGGCGCCGCGAAATGGAATGGGCAGGTATAGACGAGGCGGGGGCTCGGCCCAAGAGGGATATGCACGATGGTGCGATGCAATGCGACGACGATATGTTCTCGGAGCGTTCGATTCCTGGATGTGGGTGGGTATGTATGTGCGTGTATGGAGTAAGTTTTTGGTTGTGCTTTTTGTTCGTCTCACGATGGTGTCATGGTTCATGGTCCGAGGTCGATTGGGGCTTGTGTCCCTTATCTCCACCGAGCTAGTCCTATCTTGGTTTGGTCCACCGGTACTCGCCCTCATCCGATGTCGGCATGGGGCATGGGGCATGGGCATAGGGCCCACAAATCCACCGATGAAAACTTCTTCCTGCATCTTATCTGATCATCAGATTAGATCAGTGCAAAAGTACCTCCACTCGTTACACGGGTACATTTTACGGTACTGAGACCTTTAACCGCTCCTTTCCGACTTCAACCTCTACCAATGCCGACCACTATCCCGTTGTATCCCAGCACGATGCCACCTAACTAGACTGTACTAAATACCCAAAGACCACCCCTGACCCAGGCCCATTCGCGTGGAAAGGTAAAGAGGGCAAAACCCCCCAGTGAAAGAGAAGAAGAAAATCCCGCAGGCGGCCCAAGGGTCCACACTGACTGAGGCCGGGTTCACCGTTCACAGCTTCGCAGCAGCGGGGGATGGGAATTCAAATGTATGGGAATAGGTCGTGCTTGTATGTAGCAGTAGAATGCGGGCCATCGGTTGTCGGTCTATCCGTAGATTGTAATTATACTTCGTAGGCACATCACATGCATATTGAATGTCATACGGACGTCCACTGTGGTAATTTCTGCACACTCCTTTGCCAAAGAGGACGATTTTGTGAAAAGACACCTCTTGTTGATCATCTCTGCCTCTCTGTGTTGAACGTATGAAGACTACAGTTGCATAACACACCGCGGAAATCGGCACCCATGGCTACCCAACCATCCACTGCACCGCCCAGCGAGCGATTTGCTCCAAAGCAGAGGCTCTCCATACTGCACGGTCCCGTCGAGCCTCCCCTCGTTGATTTAAATCTCGGCGAACTTCTCGAACTCCAGACCTACCAGCATGGCACGAGGGAGTGTCTCGTCATCCCCTGGACCGGCGCACGATGGACCTACAACGACCTCAACCATCAGAGCCTCTTGCTCGCCCGGGCCCTCCTGGACATGGGCATCGGCGTAGGTGACAGGGTCGGGGTCATGGCGGGCAACTGCGAGCAATACACTGCCATCTTCTTTGCCGTCACTAGAATCGGCGCCATCCTCGTCATTCTGAACAATACCTACACCCCCACAGAGGCTATGTACGCCCTCAAGTTCTCTGGTAAGTCATACAGGGCGACTTATGGTCTATACTATACATACTGTATATCCTCAGTTGTAGGCCTAACCCTGACGACTTTCGAAAACTAATACAATGCAACTCAGATTGCAAAGTATTCTTTACCACACCACAAATTGGACGCCTCGACAACCGTCGTCTCCTTTCCGAGCTTCAAAACGAAGAGGAGGGCAGGAAGCCCAGGGTAATCATCATTCGGGGTGAACCAGGGTCGTATCGGACATATGACGACTTGATCAAGTCAAGCATCCGTCAAGACACAAGCAATCTCGAGCGAGTGATGAGAAGAGTCGTGCCGCACCAGGTATGCAACCTCCAGTTTACCAGCGGCACCACCGGTCTCCCGAAAGCTGCTATGCTCACTCATCAGTAAGTGACACTCCATCCAAACGAAGTCCTTTTATGCTTCGCACATGCGGGAGAGAGGGAAAGAAAAAAAAGAAAAACTCACGCCACATTTAGCAACCTCGTCAACAACGCCCGTTTCATAGGCGACCGCATGCGCCTCACCCCTTCCGACGCGCTCTGCTGCCCACCCCCGCTCTTCCACTGCTTCGGCCTCGTCCTCGGCCTCCTCGCCGTCGTCACCCACGGAGCCAAGATCGTCTACCCCGCCGAGGTCTTCGACCCCCGCGCCACCTTCCGCGCCCTCCGCGAGGAACGCTGCACCGCCCTCCACGGCGTCCCCGCCATGTTCGACTCGCTCTTCCAAGCCGCCGCCGCCGAAGCCGCCGAACAAGGCCGCGCCGAGCCCGACTACCCGCGCAGCATACGCACCGGCATTGTTGCCGGCGCCCCCGTGCCGCGCTACCTGATGCGCCTCATGGTCGACCGCCTCGGCATGCGCGACTTCACCAGCAGCTACGGCCTCACCGAGGCGTCGCCGACCTGCTTCAACGCTTTCACCGACGACGCGCTGTCGCGCCGCCTCACGACCGTGGGGACCCTCATGCCGCATGCCCGCGCGAAGATCATTGACCGGAACGGGAATGTCGTGCCCCTGGGCACGCCTGGGGAGCTGTGCATTGCCGGGTACCAGCTTTCCCCGGGGTACTGGAACAACTCGGAGAAGACGAACGAGACTATGGTCCGCGATTCGGCGGGAGTTTTGTGGCTGCATACGGGCGACGAAGCCGTTTTTGACCGGGACGGTTACTGCACGATCACGGGACGATTCAAGGACATTATCATTCGAGGTGAGTTTCTTTCTTTTTTTTTTTCTTTTTCTTTTTCTTCTCCTTTTCCCTTCCCACTGACACGAGACAAATTCAGGGGGCGAAAACATCTACCCCCTAGAAATCGAGGAACGCCTCATGGCCCACCCCGCCATATCACGCGCCATCGTCGTCGGCCTCAAGGACGACCACTACGGCGAAGTAGTCGGCGCATTTGTCGAGAAGGACGAAAACAGCCTCCGCCCCTCCGACGACGAAGTCCGCGACTGGGTCCGCAGGCAGCTGGGCAAGCACAAATCCCCCGCTCACGTCTTCTGGCTGGGCGAAGATGGCGTCCCGGCGCATGTGCCGCTGACCGGGAGCGGGAAGGTGAGGAAGTTCGAAATGGCCAAGCTGGGTGATGAGATTCTGCAGAATAGGAAGGGTGTTTCTGCCAAGTTGTGAGGGAAGGTCCTTCACTTCGCGGAGAGAATAATAATAATATATGCTCACAGTAGCGTGTATGGACATATTATGGGAAAACTGACCTAGAGGCTAGACAACACGGCGAAGGGGTAGCATGGTTTCCGCATCTCAGTACGGAGCATACAATGCCTTTTCTCTTGCTTTCATGGATTCGATAGAAGTTGATGTATCCAATTTTGCTTTTCTTTTATACTCGACATGTCTTATATTTCCAATACGAACTGATGCGGATCCGAAAACCAAAACTCCGATGGTATAGATCACAAGGGAAAAAAAAGAAAAAAGAAAACCCCCCCAGGAAAAGAAAAATCGAAGCCCGAGCAGAGCTGGTCTCACAGCTTCGGGACCAAGCCGATGCGCATACCGCCAACCACCTTTTCGTTGTCACCCAGGGGGCAAAGCTGGAAAAACCGCTCCCTCGAGCAGCGGACAAAAGCGCTCCGCTTATGCGGCAGGTCGACAAACTTGTCGAGCCCAAACCCGTGCATCAAGTCGTACATGAGCACCGTGTCGTTGGTCTTCTTGGGCTCGCCGACAACGAAGGTGGTTCGAGGGTCGTCGAGGAAGAGGTAGTGCATGAGGGACGACCACCAAGCGCTCACGCGATGGGGGCCGCGAAACCGCACGTCGCCGACCAGGGAATGGCGACCACGGTCCCAGTCTTGGGCATCGTAGTAGCCGCCGAGTTTGTCCTCCTTGGCCCAATACACCTCAAAATAGGCGAAAAATGTGCCTTCCCAGGCCGCAAGCAAGGCGAACTGGTGCGGGTCGTCATGGATCCGGCCAAGGTACTCGCGGTGTTGTTCCAAGGTGCCCGTCTCGTTCCAGCCCTGCGAGACGCGCGGGTCGTTCTGCCACTCATGAAAGAGACGAAGATGCTCCTCGTCGTGGTAGTCGAGGCACACCATGGAAAACGTCTCCTTGAGGTGCGGGATCCAGCGGCTATAGACCACCGCGCCGGGGGCAGGCTTCGCCGGGCGGATCGGGTGGCATGCTTGCTGGTGCAGAGTCGGGTTCGACGGGTCACCAGCCGGGGTAAGGGTCATGGTGTGCTGAAGCGGCGTCAGGGGATAGGAGGAGAGTGGGCGCGAGGGCGGCAGGGAAGAGGGCGACTCGGAAGGGAGCCAGGCGGCGCGGGGGCCGAAGGGGGAGCCGGCGCCCTGCCAGAAGGCGCTGCGGAGGAGAACGACGGTGGTCTTGGTCGGGGTAGATTCGGGTGCCTCCTGGCCGGCCTGCACGGGGTGGTCGATCGCCAACAAGACGTCCTTCAGCTGTTGTCCCAGAAGGGACGCGGCCTTGCCACGCAGCTCCCACCGCGCGAGCTCTGCGGTCGGCTGAATGGTGAAGAGAGCATAGACTAGCAGCCATGCTTGCGCCAGAGTCGGCGGATGCGGGCCATCCCAGGAAGACACGCAGCTGGGAGACCGTCTTGCACGAGCCCAGGCACTGTTGTTGGAGTCCGGTGGCAGCTCGCTCGACTTGAGGAAGGCCGGCTCGGTGAAGTAGAAATCGGCCTTGTGTAGGGGTTCTGGCAGAGACTGAGGAGACTGAGGAGACTTTTGCGATTGGTTGTCACGGGCGATCAGCTGGTAGAAGTGTAAGCCCCCGTCCTGGGATTTTCCGGCGAATTCATCGCGGCTGAAGGCTCTGCGGATGGTGTACTCGGCGAGATGGGGATGGGGGAGCTTGAGGAGCGTGTCGTTGGAAGAAAAGCTCGAAAGGGACAGAGCGCCAGTCATGATGAAGATTGATACAGATGATAGGTCCTACAGGACAATGTTGCAGCTAGGGGAGGATCCAAGAGGACAAGCTCAGGGTAAGTCCAGAGGAAGGTAACAGGTGTGAAGCAACAGGGCGACGACGACGAAGGGAAAAGGAGAAGACCGGAGGGGGAAAAAAAAAGTAGAAAATAGAAAAAAAAAGGGAAAAATGAGCACCTTCACTTAGCACCTCAAACTACTCAAGCCCTCGATCCAAACACGTCAGTTCATGTAGGGGACCCTGTCTGAACTGCGGGCCAGGATTGGGTAGTTCGGCGCAGTCGTCCAGTTCCAAGGTCCATACTCCGTACTCCGTACTTGGGAAAGGTTCCTTTTCTTCCTCGGCTAGACATGCCATTGGAAGGTAAAAAGAAAAAGGCGGCAATGCTACCAAGAAAGGAGTCCCAAGAAAGCCGGAGGTGTATCCGTATCGTTGCACTCCATACCGTCTACCGTGGTTCGAAGATGATCAGAGGAGCTTCACAGGGACAGGAGGCGTGGGGGGTGGAGACGAGGGGCTGGGAGTCTCGGTACCACAGGGGTACTTGGAGCACGAAGTACAACGGCAACAGGGCGGATCAGATAATGCACGGAGTAACTTTAGTACCTCAGGTACTTTAGTGGATGTAGGAATACTAAGGTACGAATAGGTATACGAATACTCTCACGCTTTTGCTGTGGCTCCTGTCCGGCTTCGGAGGGGATAAAAATGGGGATAACGACCGGGGGGGAGATGGTGCGACAGTCTTCGGATCAGATAAGAAATTATCAATGCGGGCACCCCCACTTTCTTTTTCTTTCTTTCGATTTTCTTATTCGATTTTCTTATTCTGTTGTTAATGTCTTGGGAGCTTTGATTCGAAGGAAACGAATTCCAAGGCTATGGGTCTACTATGTAAGAACCCATCGTCATATTATAATGTGTTGAATGTGTCAGTTATAAAGTAGCATAAGAGAGTATTATTCCGAATATTCTCTTTTCTCCAGCTTCCACAGTTCGTACTAAAATAAAAGCATTTATTCTTTTTCCTCACTTTCTGACTGTCTTGTTCTGTACGACAACCACAAGTATCATAACCACCACCAAAAGGAAAGCTGATCATATTTCCTACGGAAGCGCAGTAAAAGACGATCACGAGCATAATACTAAAGGTAGTAGTATTACTTAGGAAGTGAAGGCAGAATTTGTGATTGTAGCCGTCGTTGGCTCATTAACAGGTATCTATAACGCCTTAATATATAACACCGTAGCGAGTCATCTGCTTCTGTCATGAACCCATTCCTTACTTGGCCGAGTAGTAGGGCGTACTGGTGCCATCACGGACGCCGTCTCCCACCAGGCGACTGCTACGCCCTCGCTATTGGGGTTTGCGTTTCACAGCATCAGAAGCACCGTGGAATCCTCCCATTCCACGGCTCAGCCAGCACGAGGTTGTTTCAACAGTATCTGGCGAAAAAAATCCGCCCAAATCTTTGACTGGCTGCCGCTGCGTTGTGTCGTTGTGTCGTTGTGTCGCGTGGGATTGAAAACCATCGCATCCTTGCATCTTTGACCTTGAGCAGACTGCATGGGGGTAGAAGCCATTCATTAATGATACATTAAGCGGATACCTCAAGGGCGGATGGCGCATCCTCTTCGGCAGCAGTCTTGCCTAGTTGCATGTAGTTCCAGCAGACTGGCGTGCATAGCAGGTCAGTAAATGCCATCTTCCTCTTCTGGGCTGTCTCTCTCTCTCTTCTTCTTCTTCTTCTTCTTCTTTCTGGGAACGGTAACTCACTCTGGAAGCCCAAGTCATCTCGGAAATACGCCTGCATCACGTCCTCCCCGCTGATGGTGCCCTCGGGTCCACAAGCCACGGCCTTCTTGCCGACCGCCAAGCCGATGACGGGCGGGAAGTAGCTAAGCTCCTGAAACTGCGGCTCATGCCTGCCTTCCCCCGCCGTAAGCATCTCTAGCATGCGCTGGTGGCAGTTGTACGCCGCGAGGTGCCCCATGTGCATGGCGCCGCCGCACCGCTTGATGCCAGACCACCGCGCAGCGTCGCCGACGACGAGGTGGCGGTCGACGTCGTACAAACCGTCGGCGGGCTCGAGAAACAGGTTCGGCCGGATGCGGGCGTAGCCCTCTTCGTCCAGCGCGGCGGGCGGGAGGAATCCCGTGGAGGGCTCCGGGCGGGAGATGGCCATGACGACCTCGCTGGCCAGGAGCTTGTGGCCGTTTGTGAAGCGGACCTCGTAGCGGGCGCGGCGGTGGGTGGCGGGGGAAGGCCCGGAAGGGGAAGAAGGAGAGGGGAGCTTGACCGTCTCGGCGACGCGATGGCCCAGGAGGACCTCGACGCCGGCCTCGCGGAGGAGCTCGAGGGCACGCGTCTTGCATTCGTCCGGCAGGCCCTCGGACGAGAGGAGCTGGTCGCGCGAGTGGACGAGGGTGATGTTGATGTCTGGGCGGATGACTTTGAGCTCGGCCGCCATCTCGATGCCGACGGCGCCGCCGCCGACGACGATGACGCCGTCCGGCGCGTTGGTCACGGCGTGGATGTGCTCCTCGGCTTCGAGGAGGAACTGTTTCCGCAGGAGGGACTGCGGGACCACGGGGAAGACTCGCCGGAGGCCGGACCCGACGATCAAAAAGTCGTAGGAGAGCTCGCGGGGTTCTTTGGTCATGTGGGCGAGGACGGTGGCGGTCCTTGTGGCCGTGTCGACCTTGTCTACGCTGCCTTGGACGAAGCGGACATGGGGTCGCTGGAGAGCTGGTATATCCTGGAACCGCACCCAGGTTTTGGAGGCGTAGTCGGAGGAGGCGAAGGCCATGGGGCCGCCGATCAAGTGGACTTTAGAAGAGCAGCGGTGTTTTGTTAGCAAGGGGTTTTTTATTTCCTTTCTTTTTTTTCTTTTTCTTTTTTTCCTTTTTCTTTTTTCTTTTTTTCTTTTTTCTTCTTCTTCTCTTTTGGAGGGCCCTTGGCCGTGAACTTTGAATAGAAGCTTCGACTTACAGAAGCCATCTCGTTCATCGACTATGGTGATTTCGATGGGAATGTGTCTGAACTGGGGGTGATGTTTGTATGGCTGGTGTGACATTCGTGGAGACAGACCATTGCACAGGTCGAGCAGGTTGAGGGCACTCGACAGGCCGGCATATGAGCAGCCTACGATGAGAAACCTGAAAGGAGAGACGACGTCTGGTAGAGAACCCATGGTGGCCCGCAGGGAGGATGTGAGTACCCTTTGCTCTCCGTCTCCGTCTCCGTCTTCTTTTTCTTTCCTTCTTTGCAAAGGGTTCAACAAAGTGTTAAGGAGAAGGATATGATGGACTCAAGTTGGAAGAATGAGGATTGTTTGCACCCGAAGGAAGAGAAGGGCAGGACTATGACTATGCAAACCAAACACCGGGTAATTGTCAATTACGAATACTCGAGAAAAGCCAGGGGGTGGAGTGCTGGAGGAACGGAACAGGTCATTGGGAATGGCCTCTCTCTATGAAGGCCACCCTGTGAATATGTCATGTCGTTCCGAAACAGCTCCGGAAGGCAAGGCGCTATTTGCCGAGCGGTCATTCTCGGGCCAGAGAAAGACAAGGACAAGCAACGGTAGAAAAAGAAGTGAGGGGTGGTGGTGGTGTGGGTGTGGGTGTGGGTGAAAAGAGAGGGGGCGATGGAGAGGAATAACGAGAACAACCACGAGGTGGATCATATTTCATGATCCCTGTGACACACCATTGATGAACCGGCGAATAAGAACAGACCACTGGAGTTATCAGATCTTTTTTTCCTCCGTGGCCCCTTCCTGGGACATCTGCAGGTTGATGGGTAATTAAATTATTATCATTTTCGTGCTTCTCGGCTCGACTTGCCTCATTTCTTTTGGCCTGATGATCATGTTCCGCTTCTCATGATTGGGTTCTTCGACATGCAGCCACGTAATAAGACGTAATACGGTTATGGAGAGGACACTCTTTGCGTAGTTGTAGGGATGAATCGGGGGGGACTGCAACGGAAATGCGCGATTTTTTCTCTTTCTTTTTTTCTTTTCTGGAGTCGAATCGAACGAGTTGTGATGTTGAGATTCAAGAACCCTGCTTCCGAAGTACTCCGTACCCAGGGATACGCCAAGACGATTTATCTGATCCGAGCAATCTTCCTCGGCCCAACAATCTGATCCGAGGACCCGTGGCCGAACGCATCACTCTGATGTACGAAGGAGCTCCCAGGTCAGATCAGATCGTTGCTGAAGACAAATTACCAGAAGCTTTACGACAACGACTATACCATACGCTTGTTTCCTTTTTTCTTCTTCCTTTTTTTCCCCGTTATAATTGACGAGTAGCCGTTTGTCTGATCATGGTGAAGACATTTTGAACCCCGAATAGACAGATATATATGCCCGATAGTGTCTACGAAGGGCAGACTGGAGAACTGACTACTTAATTCGGCCATGAAGTTTTGCTCCTAGGCAGTTTCGACTCCACTACTTTCTATTTTGTATGTATGTATTATAGTATCTTAGGTATGCGCAATTATCATCTCTCAATTCCAGGGGGCAGGGCTGCCCCGGTCCGCCAGTATTGATCCCGCTTCAGACGCCAGATTTCAGCGAAGGCTGTTGTTTCTTTGCAGGGTGCAACCGACGACATTGTGCGGTGCTCTATGGTGTACGAAGTACAAAGTAATTACGAATAATTTCTACTAATTAATTGGTAATATCAGTAGAGGTTTGAGTTCAGCTCAGTTCTTGGACACCTGGCTGAAACATTAGCCGTAAATGGTCATATTGACTCAATAATTCGTGGCTGTCATCACAAACCGCTCTGTGGCTTGTGTGACCAGCCAGCTCACCGTGTGGCTGTACCTAAGGTACCATACCATTAAGGTACGTTGGTATCAAGGTCCACGTGGGCCTTTTTCCGATAACGCACACCGCCAAAATCCTTGCGGTACCCCAAGCCAAGGCCAAGGGACCTGCAACCCAATTTCTTGAGCTTATCACCAACCAACACGCATTCTGCCCAGGTCCCCTCAAAAGCCACTGACAGCGTTCGCGGTACACATCCGCTAACCATTGCCCACCATATCGTACCACCAAGGTTCCCCCGGTCCCTCCTCTCTCCACCAAGCACATCGTACCCGTCCGCTCGTTCGACTCGAAGAAAATCGTCCTTCGAACAGCGGTCGCGATAGAGGAGGGGACATTGCAGCACTTGCACTTGCACTTGCATCGGGCAAGGGTGACGAGGACGACGGGGCTTACGAACTTTCCGACTACCAACACGTTCGGACGCGAAAAGACCGCGAGGCGAAACACGCTCGTCGAGAAGAGAAACGGTTAGAGAAACGGCGGTGGCTCGAAGAGCAAGACGACATGAAGTTCTCGCACAGCATCCAATTCAATGCCGTCCCCGACTGGAGCAGCCACTATATCGCCTATAGTAACCTGAAAAAACTGTAAGTCATCCTGCTTGACGCGTCAATTGAAGGAAGAAAAGAAAAAGAAGAGAAAAAGAAGAAAGAAAAAAACGTATTGGGGCTGACTGTCGTCCTCCAGCATCTACCAACTCGAGAAAACCGCACTCCAGCCTGCAGGTGACGCCGAATCCCGCCCGCTCATCCACGATGAAGAACCCGAGGACGTCTTCAGCCGTGCCCTCGGCGTCGAGCTAGAGAAGATCTCTTCCTTCTACGTGACGAAAGAAAGGGAACTCCTAGACGAGGTAGCCGAGCTCATGAAGGATGTCGGCGACTTTCTCCACGACCAACAAGATGGCCATCACTACGCCGCCGACAGGCTACACGGTCATCGAGCGCCCGGTCATCGCCGTTCGGCCTCCCTCGGAGATGGCATGGACGACAGCGATGACGAGTACGATGAGGATGAAACCTCCGGTTTAGCCAAGCGGCGAGGGAGCACCTCCCGTCGCAGGACGTTGGCGAACTTGTTGCATCAGTCTGTGGACAGCATAGCGGACTCCTCCGACAGGCCGAGGTCGTTGCGTCGAAGCAGCGTTGCCATAGACGACTACGCCGAGCAGTCCTTTCTCCACTCGCCCAGCATCTTCCTCAAGAAACGCATCACCGACCTCTACGTCCAGCTTTGCGAGCTCAAGGCCTACGTGCAGCTGAACAAGACGGGCTTCAGGAAGGTCCTCAAAAAGTTCGACAAGATCATGGACAAGGACCTCAGACCCAAGTACATGGCGGCCCACGTCGAGCCTGCCTACCCTTTCAGGGAAGACACCCTGCACGCCTTGGAGGAGAATATCAACAAGATGATCAAAGCCTACACCGAGGTCATCGCCGAGGGAGACGAAGAAATGGCAAAGCGGGATCTCCGGTCTCACCTACGCGAGCACGTCGTTTGGGAGCGCAACACGGTGTGGAGAGACATGATTCGCATGGAACGCCGCTCCGAGGCCGCGACCCTCGGCCGCACCCTGCTCGGCACCGACCCCGGCATGGGAGCTAGGATTCTTCAGGGCGACGACGAAGTCCTTGCCTCCACCACGCAATTCATGACCCCTCTCGGTCGACTCGTCCTGCCTCGATGGCTGGCAAACTCTGCAGTGCTGACCTTGGGAGCGTCGATCGCCATCTTCTTTGTCCTCCTCTTCGTTCCCATCATGGACAGCCCCGAACAACAAAATTGCCTGGCGCTCTTGGTCTTTGTGAGCATGCTCTGGGCCACCGAGGTGCGGATAAAACGATACTCGTTTTTTTTTCTTTCAATTTTTTTTCTCCATCCCCCAACGCTGTGAAGCCCCAACTGACTTACCTATCTGTAGGCAATTCCGTTATTCGTCACCTCACTGGCGATCCCGTTTCTCTGCGTGATTCTTAGAGTCATAAGATCCGACGACGAGCCCCATGCGAGAAGGCTTGGGGCCAAAGAGGCGACCACATACGTATTCGCGGCCATGTGGACACCCGTCATCATGCTTCTCCTGGGCGGGTTCACCCTCGCAGCGGCGCTCTCCAAGTGCAGCGTCGACAAGCGGTTGGCCACGCTGGTGCTGAGCAAAGCGGGCACGACGCCGCGGACCGTGCTGGTGGCCAACATGTTCGTGGCCGCCTTCGCGAGCATGCTCATCTCCAACGTGGCCGCCCCAGTGCTGTGCTTCTCCATCATCGAGCCCATGCTCCGGACCCTGCCGCCCGACTCGAACATGGCCAAGGCCGTCATCATGGGCATCGCGCTGGCCTCCAACATCGGGGGCATGCTCTCCCCCATCGCCTCGCCGCAGAACGTGGTGGCCATGGGCATCATGACGCCGGCGCCGACCTGGATCCAGTGGTTCTTCATCGCCATCCCCATCGGCGTCATCTCCCTCGTGCTCATCTGGCTACTCCTCCTCATCTCCTTCCGGCCCGGCAAGGGCACGACCATTGCGGCGATTCGCCCGATCAAGGAACGGTTCACGGGCGTCCAGTGGTTCGTCACGGCCATCACCCTCATCACCATCGGCCTGTGGTGCGCGAGCCACCAGCTGGAGTCGGTGTTTGGCGACATGGGCGTCATCGCCATCATCCCCATCGTCCTCTTCTTCGGCAGCGGCCTCTTGACCAAGGAGGACTTTAACAACTTCCCCTGGACCATCATCATCTTGGCGGCGGGCGGCCTGTCGCTCGGTAAGGCCGTCAACTCGTCCGGCTTGCTGCACACCGTCGCGCGCATCGTGTCGACCCACGTGGAGGGGATGAGCCTGTATGGGGTCCTCGTCGTCTTCTCGACGCTCATCCTTATCCTCGCCACGTTCATCAGCCACACGGTGGCGGCCTTGATCATTCTGCCGCTGGTGTATGATGTGGGCAGGAACATGGGAGAGCCGTATCCGAACCTGCTGGTCATGGGCGGCGTTCTCATGTGCAGCGCTGCCATGGGTCTACCCACCAGTGGTTTCCCCAATATGAGTATGTTCTCTATTCCCCCCCCCCCTTCTTCTCCCCCCCCCTTCTTCTCCCTTCTGCCCCTCCTTTTTCTTTTCTCATCACTTTACTTCGTTTCTTCTGATTGACCCTCTCGGTACAGCGGCAATTATGAAGGAGGATCCAACAGGCCGACGATACCTCCGTGTCAAGGATTTCATCAGCACAGGTGTTCTCAGCAGCGTGGTCACGCTCATTGTATCGGTGACCATTGGATACGGAATCATGAGGTTTGCCGGGTTAGATCCGTGAAAAGGGAGAGGCGCGTGGGCATTTTCAAAGGGCAAGGCGTTCACCAGAAAGCGGTAGCGGTGTGAGCGAGGTTGAAAAGCCAAGCATATTTGGAGTTTGTATTTAAAAGACTGTTACACTGAGCAGGTTATGGTGGGAATTTGGGAGGCGTTTCTACTTCGAATATCTTCGAGTGGAAATATGCTGTCCCTTCTACGGGGTCTCTCTAGACTAAGGTAGAAATGGTGGTGGCGGTAATAGGGTAAGGAGTGTTCTGTAAGGTACCTATCATATAATACTTTGTAGCCTCAAAATGAAGTACGGAGTAGGTACCTTACCTAGGTAGTCGGCCTCATCTTATTCGTGCTGGTACCGCCGTCACGCGTGTACCAAGGACTTTGTAAAACGACGGAAGTTCTCCACTCCGACATCCGACAGCTCCACTGACGTCGTCGTCTTGTCCTCACTGGTCACGTTGTACCTCTCCATATTCCGTGGTCGGGTCACACCTGAGAGGTACCTTACTTCGTACCTTACCTACCTTACTCACCTTACCTCCTACCAAGCTACGAGGTATCGACTCGAACCGCCCCCAACGCATCTTCGCTACTCGGCACAATTCCACATCTGACCTTTCGCACGGTCATGACGTTGACGTGAATTGAAACTACTTCTACTCATTGCTCTCACACAGCTATACCCTACTCTAGGACTTTGGTTCCCTTTGCATGAGCGCATCCCGACTCTGAGCTCGTGCGGTCCCTGGTCGCCCGCGAGCTGCTAGGTGCCATGCTTTCGGCATTCACAGCCCACCCTATTATCGAGCTGAAGCAGCGCGACAAGTCTAAGATTGAAACAATCCTAGCTTATGGTATTGACGCTTGCTTGTCATCTGTTATGTTGCAAACCAGGCTAACATCTAACCTCCCCCTTTTCTCCTCCCGAGCATTGTAGGCGATCGCATCTTGGTCGGTCTCAACACAGGGGCACTCCGCGTCTACCGTCTGAACGAACTCGATCCTCCTCCCGCCCATGCCAACGGCTCATCCGCAACAAGCCCGCCGAAAGGTTCTACCGCTGAACAACCGCCGCCACAGACGACGAAGAAGCCCACGGACCTGCTGCGCGAAGTAGAGAAATTCTCCCCGAGGGCTATCGAACAGCTTGCCATCGTCAAGGAGGCGAACATACTGGTTTCTTTGTCCAACTACCATGTCTCCCTCCACGACCGCCAAACATACCAACTCGTAGAGACATTGTCCCGGACGAAGAACGCTTCGTGTTTCGCCGTCACCTCCAACATTGTCAAAGACCCTGCGACCGGCATCCCCGAGATCATCAGCCGCCTCGCCGTCGCGGTTCGCCGACGCCTGTTGATATGGAGCTGGCACGAGAGCGAGCTCAGCGAGGATGTGGCGGAGATCACCCTGGCCGAGTCGATACGGACAGTGACCTGGGCGAGTGCGACGAAGATCGTGTGTGGCATGAACGCCGGCTATGTCCTGGTCGACGTCTTGACGCAGGACGTTCAAGACATCTTCTGTCCCGGGAGCAGCGCGTCTGGGGGGCAAGCGAGCCGGTTCGGACAGGCGAGCAGCGCTGGTATCGCGTACATGGGGCTTGGCGGGTACATGCCGAAGCCGCTGGCTGCTAAGCTTGCCGATGGCGAGATGCTGCTGGCCAAGGACATCAATACGCTTTTCATCACAGAGGAGGGCAAGCCCATCGAAAAGAAGTGGCAGATCCCATGGGTGGCGGCGCCGGATGCCATTGGGTACTCGTACCCTTACATACTCGCCCTACAACCACCTTCGAAAGGCTCCTTGGAGGTCAGGAATCCAGACACGTTATCATTACTGCAGACCATATCCCTTCCCGGTGCCGCGCAGCTGCATTTCCCGCCGCCGAACGTCAGCTTAGCCCATGCCGGGAAGGGGTTCCATATATCGAGCGAGAGATGCGTCTGGAAAATGGGTGCCACGGATTACGATTCGCAGGTCGAGGAGCTCGTGGCGACCGGAAGGCTTGACGAGGCCATCAGCCTCTTGAGCATGCTCGAAGATGCTTTGCTCAAAAATAAAACCGAGAGCTTGAGGGAGGTCAAGATGACCAAGGCCGAGGTGCTCTTCAAGCAGAAAAAGTTCCGAGACTCGATGTACCTTTTTAACGAGGAGGGAGTTCATGCTCCTCCAGAACGCGTCTTGAAACTCTACCCCCCCTCCATTGCCGGAGAACTCTCGGGCTGGGAGCAGACCCAGCAACGGGACTCGGTTGACGAGGAACGGAACGAGGAGGACGGAAGCCCGGCGAAGGCAAATGGCGAGTCGGCCGATGCACGTGCACATGCACATGCACATGCACACGCACATGCAGATACCAACGCAGAGCTGCCGCCGCCGTCCCCAGCATCAACAGTGAGAGGCGCGGGAGGTTTTGCGAAATTATTCATGGGTGGCCGGTGGGCCCATTCAGACACATCGTCTGTCACACCCAAGAAGCAAGAAGCCGACACCGAAGAGACAGCCAGCGTCAAGGATAAACAGGCCGATGGCCAGCAGCAACCGCTCGAAGGGAAGGATCTTTCCGATGCGGTGCATGCCCTGACGGGCTACTTGGTGGGCACGCGGACTCGATTCCAGCGGGTGCTCGACCCCGCCACGGGGAAGCTGAAGCGAACCGATTCGAACGGCTCGACGGAAGAGGCGTTAAAGAGCCTGATGTCGACTCACCATGACGAAACCGACCAGCAGGTCGAGGACGAGCTCCGGGAGGCATTCCGGCTGGTCGACACCTCCCTGTTCCGCGCTTACATGTTCCAACTGCCCCAGTTGGCAGGCTCGCTCTTCCGCATTCCCAACTTTTGTGACCCGGATGTCGTCAACGAGAAGCTCCTCGAGCATAGCCGGTTCACGGAACTCGTCGATTTCTTCTACGGCAAGAAGCTCCATTCCCAAGCCCTCGACCTCCTCAGGAGGTTCGGCGCCGCCGAGACGCCGGACGAGTCGGCTCCGACGTTGCATGGCCCGCAGCGCACGGTGGCGTACCTGCAGAGCCTGCCGCCGTCGGAGATCGACCTCATTTTCCAGCATTCCAAGTGGACGCTCGAGGCGGATCCGGATCTGGGGATGGAGGCCTTCCTGGCGGATTCGGAGAACGCCGAGACGCTCCCCAGGGACCGCGTCGTGGACTTCCTTGCGGGGATCAGCGCGGGGCTTGAGGTTCGGTACCTGGAGCATATCATCGGGGAGCTTAACGACGCGACCCCCGAGTTCCATAACCGTTTGGTGGAGCTGTACATCAAGGGGCTCAGGGGAGACAAGGGTGACGAAAAATGGGAAGATACGATGGGACGTTTCTTGTCCTTTTTGAGACGGAGCCGGGAGTATAGCCTGGGGAAGGCTTTTCAACTCCTTCCCAGGGATGGTATGTTGACCCCGCCCCTTTTACTGCCGGTGGTAGTACCAAGGCTTAGCATGACTGACATTGACGGCTGCTCAAGATCCTGCATTCTACGAGGCACGGGCCGTAGTCTTGTGCAACATGGGATCGCATAAGCAAGCTCTGGAGATATACGTTTTCCACATGAAGGATTACGTGAAGGCAGAGGAGTATGTCTCCCATTTTTCTTCATTCGTCGACATTGCATCGCTAACAGTTTCCCAGATACTGCAATAGAATACACCGGGGCGATGGCACGAGGCCATCATCCCCAGACGGCGTGCGACCGACGTCGTTGGATGATGCGGAGGAAGGCGTGCCTTCCATCTACCACACCCTCCTGTCGCTCTACCTGGCCCCTCCGCCGCCTCACGAGCGGGCGCTGCAGCCCGCCCTCGACCTCTTGTCAAAGCACGGCTCGCGGCTCCCCGCGGCGTCCACGCTCTCCCTGATCCCGGATACCCTCCCGGTGGGCCAGCTCGAATCGTTCCTCCGCGGCCGCATCCGGTCGGCCAACAGCATCGTCAACGAGTCGCGGATCCTGGCCGGCCTGCGCGCGACGGAGTACATCGCCAGCCAGGCGCTGCTGCTCCTCGGCGACGGCATCCCCGGCGGCCAGGGCGGGCGCAACAGGCGCGTGGTCATCACGGAAGAGAGGTTGTGCGGCGTGTGCCACAAGCGGCTGGGCGGCAGCGTTGTGGCAGTGTTGCCGGATAGCGCGGTCGTGCATTACGGGTGTCTGAACAGGGCGTCGTCTTCGGCACATAGGTCGGACGGGGCGAAGGCGGGGAGCTGGAGCCGCCTGCATACCTGACCTGACCTGACCTGACCTGACCTGACGTATTGACGTGGGACGGCGTTGCGACTGGGAATGTTGAAGTACGAGATGAGATGGAGGGGCAAGCAGGCATGGTGGCGTCGCTCCCCTTTGTCGACTTTGCGTGCTCAAAGAACGGCTTTTCCTTCTTGTCTCTCCATGGGGTTTATCGGAGAAATCTGCATTTGCACAGGGCATCATGACCTGGTATTTTTGTTTTCGGTGGTGGAAGGTGCATGTCGTATAGCAATACCCTCTCCTTTTTCTTCTTCCTTACTTCTTCTTTTCTTCTTCTGTTGCTTTGTTGCTCCTCAGTCTAAAGGTAGTCATATGTCGGCAAGATAACCTCTCCCGTTTCGAGGAGTCGGGCTCTCTTCTTTTTTATTCCCCGTTCTTAACTTTTACTCATGCGTCATTGTTCGGTCGTTTACTCAGGACAGGTCGTCATAGCCCGATGGACAAGTGAGTCCTTCTTTTTCTTCTCTTTTTTCCCCCCCTTCAGTCTTCATCCTCGACGATTTCCTCGCCGTAGTTCTCTTCCTCTTTCGCGTCGTCGATGCCCCTTTGTGTAGCAGCAGCTTCCGCCTTCTCTTTGTCCATCCGCCGGGTGAGTTCCCGGTTGATATCGCTCTGAATTTGGGCGGTGGCGCGGCGGAGAGCGGCCAGGTATGTAGACTTGTCGTCGACGCAGGATGTTGGCGGGGCAGGCAGTTGGCTTTGGAGTTGGAACGAGTCGCTAGGGGCTTTGTAGGATGCTGAGAAGAGCATGACCTGTTCTCCGGGTGCGCCGGTGGCTTGATTCTCTGACTCCATGGTGCCGAACAGGGAGTGTATTGGTTGATAGTGAGGCGTGGGGGAGGAAATTGTCGTGTCGCTGTGAAAATGTCGGAAGAATATGGTACTAAGGTAGACCTCGCGTGGAGGGGTAGACTGCTTACTAATCCTGTACTTAAGTACCGGACAAGGAGTCATTGGCAAATGACATCATCTCGTCTTGTCATCCCAAATGAGTCAAATGAGTGGTCGTGTCGCATGGGCACACGGACCACGACGTGGTCCATAGGGGATCCAGGGGGGATCCACGCTATGACTAAGGACTTCGGATATAACAGGGGCGGATACCGGAAAAGACCGGATAGGATCCAAATGACTTAGTACCCATAATAGAGTCTTCACCACCTAAATTAAGGGCATAAGAGACTCTCCTAGATATAACTTAATATAATATATATACACGAGATTTCTGCTCTACTAAGTTAATTATTTAAGTGCCTATTTGACGTGCGATAGTTATAAGCCCGGTTTATAATGCCTAAACAATAAATATTAATAAGGCTACCCCTATTCTACTACAAAGAAATAATTACGTCTATATAAGCACTCTTAAATAACTATTATTAATCTAATTAGAGTAATTAAGAGATTAATTAACCTACCTATTAATTAATTAACCGATAAACTAATAAAGATATCTTCTAATATATCTAACGCCGAATAAAAGGCGGCCGCTATTACCCTTATTAACTAAAGGGATTAAGCAGTTTAGGAGCGCGTTATACATAGTAAATCGGCCTCTTACTAGGATAACTACCTAAATCTAAAGCTAAGCGATAAGGAGGCTAATGCCTATCTCCTCCCTATACCTACGCCGCTTAACGTCCGTAAATATAAGGCCTTTACCGTGGACCCTAACACGGAGGAGGCTATAACCACTATTATCACGGCTACTCTATCTTCCACTATCACGCTAAAGGGCGATAAGGCCACGGACGCCACGGACGCCGCCACGGCTACCACGGCTAGTACTACGGCGGCTATAGCTATTAGTAAGAGGAAGACGGCCGCTCGCCGGAAGGCTACGGCCGTAACGAAAGAATTAACGATTAGGACGCCTATATTTATCGATAACCTCTCTAAAAAGGGGCATACGCGTTACCTATAAGATCGCCGCGTATACTATAAGGAAAAGGTAGATTATAACATGTAGTAAAAGGAGTTTAATAAGGTACGCTCCTATATTAAAAGGACTATCTATACTATATTATATAGCCTCCTCGTTTAGTTATAGAATAATACCGTAAATAACCTATAGGCTTAGATTACTCTCCTACACGTATACGTAGGACTAACCCCTATAAACCTCTATAAGGAAGCCTTAGTCCTATATCGATATACCACGCCTATAAAGGCTATACCTAAGGATATAGACGGCTAGGTTATAAATTAGAAAATAGTAATAATATACTATAAATATATAGACGTTTTAGAATTATTAAGCGCGGACTATTAGGTAAAAGACGCGTTAAAAGCTATTAGACTTATCGCCTAGGAATAAAGTAATAACTACTTAGTAAATAACTATGATAAGATTACGGAAAACGAGTTAACGATTAACGACTTCGTAAAGGCTTTATATACGGTTCTTAGTAATATAAAGAGCTTATAATCCTCCGCTATAAAGCTTAGAGTCGGGAGAGGCACCTTTAACACCCTTAGGAACCTCCCCGATACTAAGGATACTACTAATAATAAAGATAATAAGAAGCGTCCTTATAGTAATATATCCGTAAAGGCTATCCCTCCCGTAATAAGGAGGCCTTATAAGATACATAAGAACCCCTATACTATTACTGTCTATTAGTATATAAGGCCGGATATACGCCCTTATACTTAGCGTGGCTATAAAGATAGTACGAAGGTTATGGAAAAGAAGATATATAATTATAGTTTTAAAAGCCGCGTGGATACCGCGATATAGAAGAGACGGGAAGCCTTAGGGGCTATTACCGCTAATAAGATAAAGAAAGTCTAGGAAGATTAACTCTATAATATTACGCTTAGTATAACTACTATATAATAAAATTAGGGGGTTATTAGGCCGCCCGTAAGTATAGCTTTAAAAGACCTATCCGTTACCATAATAAGAAGACTAGGCGCTTACCTAATCTAAGGGGTAGCGCGCCGTTATCGTACGACGATACTATTAAGATTATAATAAGAATAAAGGGTATCCCTTTATATTAACTAAGCTAGAGCGCTGTTATACTACGCGATCCTAGACTTAGGATCGTTAATCTATATCTTTAATAATTAAGGCTATTTTACGGCCGTTAGACTACCCACGGATACTTTATCTTTATCCTTTTAGGTAGGTACTTATAAGGCTCCTATCCTCGGATACGGAGACGTTAAGCTACGTGTATAATCCTTATCGGGCACGAAAAGGCTATTACGTCTCCGTAACGTTATATACTATAAGGAATTCGTTACTAATATCGTCTCGGAATACTATCTATGCTTATAAGGCTACTGCTAGGATACCGTAAATAATATTATCGTTAGCTCCGCCGATAACTAGTCTATCTATAAGCTGCTAGATATCCACGGCTAGTATATAATCGAGCGCGCGGAAGCTACGGCCGCTACCACGTTCGTAGTCTTAGTAAGGCACCCGCGCGATAACACGTATAGAAGATTATAATAACCGCGGTAACCGTAGAAGCCACGGTATAACAGTGGTATAAACGCCTTAACTACTACGGTACCGATACTCTTATAAAACTTATCGACGCTACTTAGGGGGTAAAGATAAAGGGACCTCGTATAACGGACTATAACGCGTATAGGTAATCGTAAATACCTACGTAGATCCGGCGGATACTATCCCTTTACCCGTTAAAGCCCGGAGAGGCCCTAGCTATTAATTTTTATAATCTAGAAGAGGCGGAGTAGTTAGTAGGCAGACTATATAAGTCTATTATATTCGTTATAGACGTGTATATAGGTTATACGTGGAATTACTACCTATAGAAAAGAGACTAAGGCTTTATCCTACACGCTCTAAAAGACGTTTTTGCCCTGCTTAAGACCTAATTCGACGTTAGGCTATATATCCTATAAGCCGATTCCGAGATATTTTAGCACCTAGAAGTCGTTACTTTCCTTACTACTAAGGGGGTGGAATACTAGCCGTCGGTACTATATTTATAGGATTAAAACGGCGTTATAGAACGGATTAGAGGTATCGTTAAAAGGAGGGCGAGGGCTATAAGGATTAGGGCCAATCTGTCTATATCTATCTAGCCTAAGATCTTTAAGAGAACGGATTAGAGGTATCGTTAAAAGAAGGGCAAGGGCTATAAGGATTAGGGCTAATCTGTCTATATCTATCTAGCCTAAGATCTTTAAGACTACTATATATCTGTATAATAGGATACCACGATATATTAATAATTAGAAGACACTATACGAAGGCTTGCGCGGCCATTAACCTAACCTTATATACCTACGAGCTTCTGGCTATAAAGCCTTTATAAAAACGCGTAATGCCTAACCTAAAAGGAACCGCCTATAAAGGCTAAAACCGAAGGTATAGATCGGTTATTATATCGGATACTAATCCTCGAATAGCTTCCGTATTTAGCTACTATACCTAACGGATATTATTACTATAAGAGACGTAGTCTTTAACGAAGACGAGATATTTAACGGTAGGATTAGAACGCTATAAGCTATAGCTTCCGCCGAGGAAATCGGGGAACGCCTATAATCTATCCGTATCACCTAATCTAGCGATACCACGACCGCGAATAGGCTGCTATTAAGGGGTATAGCCGTAGACGTATTAGATCTTAAGTCGGAAGACTGTAATGCTACCGCTATTACTACGGGTAAAGGCGACGCTACCGTTATTACTACGGACAAAGGTAAAGCTATTATTATTACTACGAGAGAGGCTATTACTATTACTATAGACGAGGTTCTAAATCTATAGCCTAATACCTAGGCTATAGATTTAAAACCTCGTAACTCTAACGCCACTGTTATTACTACGGGAGAGGCTACTACTATCTTTACGGGCACCGCTATTACTATAGATACTACTATCGCTATAGGAGAAGACTATACTACCGCTATTACTACGGGTAAAGGTAATAATACTGTTATTACTATAGGCTAGAAAGACGTTACTGCTATTATTACGGGAGAGGCTACCG